GGCACGCTGAGCAGGAGCACCGTCAAGAAAGTAACACAAGATTATCCCCACCCGACAGACCACCTAAGAGCCATGCTAGTCTTCTACAAGGACCCGCATCAGCCGGCTAAGATGCCCTTCTCCAACAATGGGGTCATAGGGACTTGCTGAAACTCCGAAACACGGGTATACCGGCTGCCCACGTGGAATCAGCAAGCTGGAGTGAATGTAGAAAACCAGGACAGCCCTGTCAAGGCGGACAGTCCATTGGAAGTGAGGATAGTACTTATGCGACACAGTGAGACACAAGTGAGTCTCATTCGTCCTTACTGGTTCAACTAACACACTGCGTGAGCTGAGCTCCGCACGGTGATACCTTCGGTGAGTTGTTAGGACTCATTACCGGGTTTTTGGGAAGCGTTTGGGAAACGAGGTCGGAAACGCTAGAGTGGGGAAGGGCGTTTGGTCGGGTAGGTAACAAATTAAAAGCTTCGAGCCATTTTCAGGCCTCTGAAGAAGACGAGAAGGTCGAAACGTTAGGCCAATAAAGGTGTCATCTAAAAACCTCGTTTGGCAGAAGTAACTGAATATTCGACATCATGCCGAGGTTTCAAGAAGGGACAACATGGAGAGCAGTTAAGGTTTTCCCAAAAGGAAAGAAGAGTGATGGAGAATCGGGTCCTTTGAAGCTGGAGGTGGTGCGAAGAACGAAACTACTATTGCTCTTCATTAGCTCCCGCTGATTGATGTGTCCCTCTGGTATGGCTTTTCGAACTCGGTCCAATTGTGACTTGAATGATCTCAAAGCTATCGAGTAGGCTGTTCGTGCTTGACAACTCAAGTGTTTTAGTCCATGAGTCCTGCTGCAAGTGATCCAACTTGTATAAGCATCCGCCCTTTGAGCCGCCTTCCAGACTCGGGTGAACCGAACGGCACCCCTGGGCCCCGATTCTGCAGTGTGTAAAATAAATGCTAGATGACGCCCAGCTCAGCCCTCCAAAAGAGGCTTAACGGTGATTATGCGGATGCAAAAATGGCGAGGTCATGTCATATCAAAGTGCTACGTGAAAGCGCACTTTCGAGGCGTGATTTTATTTCAGTATTCCTTTTCGGGTGCTGCCAACAGTCCTCCTACTCGAGGAGAACCATCACCGTATTGATCCACAATTGTGTAGGTCTGTTCGGGAAAGTTGCTCAGTCGTTTTGGTGAGGCTGCACCTATTTTTTGTGACATTCACTGCCTCATTTAATGAAAAACTCGATTCTGCTTGTGTTCTCACGAATAAGCAACATCCTGTTGGAATCTGCACTCTTCGAGACTATCTAAAGGTATGGTTGCCGTTTCACCATCGCTCGATAAACCCCTTTTTTTCAAGATTTTTTCAAGCATATGAAAAGAGCACTTCGGACGATTTTTTTCTGTCGCAACCATAAATTTTTGGAAGGGCAGCACGCGAATCGACAAAGCTAGAACAAATTAACCTAGGATGTGGGGAGCCCTAGTAGTGTGCTAGAGGAAGCATATGCTGCGGCAATGGCGCCTCAACAGAATTCGTTGCGTGTAGATTTCAGTAGGCCTTTGAAGTACGAACCATTCAAGAAATACACGCGTTTCGACCTTAAAGAGCAAATATCGTTAGCTATGAGAATTCATATCAAGGATGGCTTTTTCTGGATGTACTAGAAAACTCCATCCAACAGTTACGAAAAAGATTGGCAAAAGGCTAGAGGAGTTGGCAAATGCACTTTGCGTGTCGGGTCTGAAATGCATTTGTGGGAAGAGGTGCACATAAACCCGGCACATCGAGGTGCCCCACAATCGGAAGTTGGACCGGCGAGATCGGCAGGCGTCTCGAGCGTTGCCTTCATGCATTGGACTTTTGCACAGCAGAAACGACGTGTTTTTGGACCGAATTCAGTTATCTGTGATGAAACATGTTGTGGGTTATTTTTATCGATGTATGGCATAACAGGAGGATCGTTCCGGATAGGTGCCGTTCGGACTTTTCGACGAACCACCGAGGTGTAATTTTCAAAGCCGAACCCTCACATAAAAAGATGTCTTCGGCGTTGGCATCAAGGTTTTGGTGGTCATCGGCTGGTGTGATCCACTATAACTTTTTATCACCAGGCCAAACCATCACAGCAGAACCCTACTGTGAAGAAATCGACGAATTGTACCGAAAATTTTGTCAGATGCAGCCAACACTTATCAAAAGAAAGGGTCCGATTCCTTTGCATGACAACGCCCGCCCACACGTTTCACAAATCACTATCCATAAATTGAACGAATTGGGGGTTGAAGTTCTACCTCAACCGCCATATTCTTCAGACCTTTCGCCAACCGACTATCACCTTTTCTAACATTTTCAGAACTCCCTTGCTGGAAAATACTTCATCAATCAGGACCAGGCAAAAAAGCCTTCGTGGATTTCGTGAATTTTCGACCACCCAGTTTTTTACTTTGATGGGATTTCTCGACTGCTGTCACATTGGCAAAAGTGTGCTGATTCGAATGGTGCCTATTTCGATTAAATCCGATGAGTATTAAAAAAGTTACGATCGTTTAAAGTGAAACACCCAAAACGCTGAGAACTTTCCGGACAACCTAATACCCCCTATGGGGAGGCGGTCGTATGGCGTGGCTGGCAGCTGTCCTACCGTAACTGGGACGCTGCTGGACGCTAATTGACACCTCCCTGAGCCTGGGCAGCCGCTCCCTTGGACCGGAGAACTCGTCCACAGCTACGTAATTGACTCGCATCATTGATCGACCCACAATAGTAGGACGCCTCCGTAGACGCCGAATTGCGTACTGGTCGCCCAACCACCCATTCTCTTCCGTTTTTGAGCGGGTTTTCGACTTCTTTGGCCTTACCAACTATTTTGAAACCACACTACTAATATTGTATATTGACCATTGCTTATTCATTGCCTTTCTGTACAAGTGCGGAGCTACTAAACCATTGGTGAGTTTTTTTTGCAGTTGCTTAAAACTTGATTTCTATACTGTTTGCTTACTGGAAGAGCATAGTTTCATGACCATTTTGGGATCATGACACATTCTTCTTCTAAGTTCGCTCACAGTTATTTTTCCTTGTTAACGATCATCGATTAATTACGACCGCAACTTCTTTTTCGGGATGAGTTACGGGAGATTTGTGTCTCCTTTGGGCATATCAAATGAGACAGCGACGTCGCACGCTCCCCTATGGCAGTAATTAGTGAGAAATGTTGCTCGTCAGCAGGGTCACAATGTCAATACCAACTGGAGTAAGGGACTGAGTCCAGGAAAATTGTATCAGGGAAAGCAAGAATATTGAGAAGAATAATGCATCGTGAAGCTGGAGCAAGAATATTGAAGAATAATGCATCGTGAAGCTGTTCTGGTAACTTTTTTGTGCAAACGTGTAAAAAAAGTTGTTAGGAACTCTTCAATGATCGTGAACAAGGAAAAATAACTGTGAGCGAACTGAGAAGAAGAATGTGTCATGATCCCAAAATGGTCATGAAACTATGCTCTTCCAGTAAGCAAACAGTATAGAAATCAACTTTTAAGCAACTGTAAAAAAACTCACCACTGGTTTAGTAGCTCCGCAGTTGTACAGAAATGCATTGAATAATCGATAGCCGTTTATAGCTGTAGTTATGTAATGGCTGGTAGGCGAAAAAAGTCGAAACTCCGCTCAAAAACGGAAGAGAATGCGTAGTTGAGCGATCAGTACGCAATTCGGCGTTTACGGAGACGTCTCACCATTGTAGGTCGATCAATTATACGAATCAGTATGGTGCGTGGCTTGTGGACGGGTATAGGACTTTCTTAAAAGATCACACCTATCATGCCTCTCGGGGAGACTCGCCTGCGGTGTTGCCTGACTTAATTGCTCTCTCACTAGCTCCTGACCTTTCCTACTTGACGATTACATCATGATGAGTGATTATTTACTGCTAATTTTTCAGCAACTTTAATAGAACTAAGGACTACAATTGAAAAATTTGAATCACATGAAACAATCAAAGATGAAAAGCATGCTAAAATGAATTAAAATGAAACACATAAATTAGGCTTAGATGGTAGTGTTAGTAACAAATCTAGACATTTTTCGACAATATTCTTCCGCTTCAGTTCGAGATGCGTTTGGGGATACCTTCCATGATGAAAGCAATACGAATTTTTTCAATACGTGCCCCTTTTTCCTATTTGGATTGCAGTAATTTCATGTTGTGTACGTCTGCATTTCAGTTGTTGTAAGTGGTTAAATGTGTTCTTGACATTTTAAATTTATGAAAACATCTTTTTTCTGACATTTCCTACGTTTACTTTTATTTTTTCCTTCTACTTTCCATGTTCAGTTTGGCTCAGTCGTGTCTGTAGACGAGAGGTCAGGAGTTAGTGAGAGAGCAATTAAGTCAGGCAACACCGCAGGCGAGTCTCCCCGAGAGGCATGATAGGTGTGAAGTGAGATCTTTTAAGAACACCACACACCCCTTGTGGACGAGTTCTCCGGTCCGAGGGAGCGGCTGAACAGGCTCAGGGAGGTGTCAATTAGCGTCCAGCAGCGTCCCAGTTACGGTAGGACAGCTGCCAGCCACGCCATCCGACCGACACCCCTCCTATGTACACTGCCTTGCAAGACGTCCAAGTAGATAAAAGTCAAATAAACTGCAAGGCACGAACTCACGAATTGTATGAAATTAGCGGTTGATGAGCCGATTGCTGCGAAGAGATTGAAGTTGAGGAATGTTGTGAGGCCGGGATACAGGTCCTCTTAAAAAGGGATAAAATTTAAATTGTGCTTGAGCTTGAATTCGATAGAATGAGGAAGCTGGCTTACTTGAAATGGCGCTGTTCCAGGGTTCCCCTTTTCGATTAGGCGTAGTACCTGCGAGTATGGTGGGAAACACGGAGAGCGTGACGAAGAATACCAGAAATATACTGAGTAATTGCATCCAGCACTAAAGTATAGGGCTAATTTAGCGAAAGAACAGCTATAGAAGCGATTCGGAATCACTGGAAAGCTCTTCTCAGTCCCTTGGGGACCTCTGCTCCCCACATCATAAACTGCGGCAAAACTGTTCAGAAGTATAGTAATACGCACGCCTTTGAAAGTCTCGTAGAACTGTCGTAAACTGGGCCGAGTAGAATGTTCGGCGATACGACTCAATTCTCCTTTCCTCACGTAGAACTTGTAGAATTTCTGAAAAGAACTGATCCACCAATAAGATCTGATATGGGCGCCGAAGTAGTTGGAAGGAAGAACTACCTGGCAGCGCCTCTGTGTCGCTTCCGTAAAGCAAAGTTTAAACTACTCGGAACCATTTCTCTTTTGCAAGACTGAACCTCGGCGACTGGTTTTCTGCGCTCTGGGCTCGAGTCTTCGGTGGGAAAAGGACACAGAGGCGCTGTTTCTGACACCTCCCCCCACCCCTTCCAATTGCGTTAGCGCCATAATACGTTGTATAACAAAAGATTAATCACATACGAGTCGTGTGACGTATATCAACGATACGCCACATAAGACGAGAGTCGCAAGTGAAATTGAGAAGTAAATCAGCGCCACAGTTTTGTAATTGCTTGGAAATGCTGAAAGATGCTTTTATAGTAGTTTGGTTTGGCTTTTCTTCTACTTCCATTTTATTAACTACTCATTTTTGGGCGCAGTTCGGCTTGGTGGGGACATTTTGTTGGTTTCTGTCAATCACTGTCAATGCCTGCTGTGGCCACCTGCAAACTCCTGTAAAGCTATGCAGTAGCAGGAGCTTCGTTTACAGTTGACAAGAATCTACAGTTCTTTCCAGGCTGAGACGTGCAGATCAACAGGAACTCACAAAAGAATTTAGCGAAAGGCAAATGCCTCTCCCAGGTCGAACAGCGCTCTTTAATGTTTATGAGTTTCGCTTGCACTGCTACTACACGGTTCTATGCCGTGTTGGTTTTGGCGCACCTAGAGCGCAATAAATAGATAAATAAAATTGGACTCACCTACGGTGGTTATTATTGAAAGAAGGCTGGTGAATGTACCACAAATATTAGTACCAACCACGAGGGCGTTTGTATAGTTGGCCGGGAAATCAGCTACTAAACCGAATACTGAATTCTAAAAATTGTTGATAGTATGCGAAATCGAGCAGTAATAAACTGAAAGTTTCGGCCATTCGCCCCAGAGGGTATCGTTCAGGGCGTGCCACGTCTTACGTAAATGGTTTCCTGCATTCTGCAGGGGTTACACATAGATGAGAAAATCTGGCTCTTCTCTGGGCACATCATTCGTTGGAGATTTTAGTCGAGTCATGTACGACCCCCCTTTTTTTGAGGGTTGGTACGACCCCCCCCCCTCCGGCCCTCTGTCCCTCCTCATCGAATCGAGCCGGGGGGG